TTTCTTTTATACAAATGGACAAAGAAAAAAATATATCAGGCCAAAAATTTAGTTTTAGATTTTTAGCCTTACCTTTACTCAGAGATGAAGTCCGTGGTTGTATCTCTCGGTTTTTTCCCCTCTCCTTAGCATTGTGGATGCTAATGTTAAGTCTCCGTTGCTCATCCAATGCCAAATCGATCCTTGGATTTCCAAAAGTTTTTAAAGAAACCTGGCTTTGAATGTCCTTGGCTGATCTTTTATGTCTGCTGATTCTTTGTAAATGTTTCAGGTCACCACTCCATTTAAAAAGAACGACTCGTCTGTCCGGCTCAGCTAACCGTTTAGCTCCGGCGTTGGTCTTCCATCATTTATCACCTTCTGTTTAGACCGGAAGTCCAGTTTTGAGAAACGTTTCCGTCTTGAAATACAATCCAGAGTGAGTCGGATCAGACAGAGCAGAGAAACCGCTGTTCTTCACCTACTAGTGGCTCTAGTTTAGCTCCGACTTTCAACTGCCTGTTGACGCCAGCTGTAGAGCACCTGTCAGTTCACGTACGACCCCTTGAGGTGAGGCAGAGTACTGTTTGCTTCACCACTGACTTTTCTCTGCACTTTATTGGCTGAGAAACAAACTGCGTCATGTGACCCGGTTTGTATTGGATCCCGGGATTTCTGACCTGTATTTGATTGCGAAATACTCAAATTCGGCAGATTTTTACTTAATAAAATGTAAAAAAAAAAAGTGTAGAGTCATATTGAAAACGCATCTTTAACACAAATCACTGGAAAATATAAATATTTATTTTATGTACTTTTTTATTTTTTATCATAATGGCACTGTCTATTCTGACTGCACGTCACTGCTGCAGTGGAAGTTTGAGGTCCCACAGGTGAAGTCGGGGCAAATTAGCGACCTTCAGAGACCCGTGTTTAACCACTGACATTAAATTAGCTATTTTTTTTATTATTATTTATTATTTTTAGCAAAGTATGGCCGGAAAAACACTAAAACTCTGCTCTGGAGCTTTCTTTGTTCAGATTACAATGTGACCCAGAAGGATACATGTTGACGTCTTTCTTGCGCATCTTAAGCCACACCTTCATTCTGTCTATCTGCCTCTGAAGTTTGGGGGATGTAAGGAGAATCTGAGCTGCAGAGTCGTACTTTGGCACACTGCCCCCTAGAGGCCGGTGGAAACCTGTGCGATGAGGAAGGGCTAAGGAGCTGGGGTCCCACGGTCTGGGTGGGTCACAGACCACAGACTGGGGCAAAGGGAACTCTGTGTGCGATGTGGTGGCCAGTGCAGTTAACACAGTGTTGAGCTGGCCTGAGATCTGCTGCAGACATTCCTGGACTTTGGCTGGATGTGGGGTAGAACGTCCTGACGACAGGGCAACATAGGGGCAGAGAAATAACAGAGGGTAAAAAAAATGGCCGCTGCTATTCAACCTGGCAGAAAGTGTGTTATATCTATATCTATATTACCGGTCTCAACATGGTCCACAGTGCAGCTGAGGTCTGACTCAGTCATCCTCACTTCTCCTGGCAGAGCAGAGAGATCCTTGCACAAAAAGAAAAAGAAATAAATATTCTTGCAATGACATGTTGTGAAATAAATGAAATTAATGTTCTCAGTAATCCAAGAAATATATATAAAAAATTAAGAAAACATCAAATGTAACCATTAAACTGAAATGTATTTACTGATGACGTAACAGAACAAAACGTGAGGTCATCGTTTCCAGTCTATGTCTGTGACATGTTCTGTGGAATCACGGGTTGCTTCTAACCTCTGGACTTTTCACACTGCTGGGCTGCAGGAGCTCTTTCTCTCTCCGACTACTCAGCTCCAACTTTGACAAAGTCCTGGCCTCCTAACAGACAGAAGGGGTGAAAAAAACTACCGGCAGTTAGAAATGATTCAAGAACAACTCGATTCACCAGTCATCATGGATGTAGGAGTGCACGGCCACCGACCTGCAAGAGGTTTTTAACCATCTCTTCAATCTTGACTGCGTGGTCCTGAGACCTGATAAGGTTTGTCATCAGAGATAAAGGAGAATCATGGTTAAAAACAAGGAGAAACAGATAATTTTGTTGCAAAATTGTAACGGCCTCCGTACTCGGTCAGCGACAGGGCGCCCAGAAATTCTACATCATGCGACGCATCACTTTTCCCACTGGAGGGCGCCAAAGCTGCAATTTTCTCCTTGAAGTCTTTGCCCTGTCGATGCTGTGATCCAGAAACGAGACATTTTTCGCCTTTCTCCAGCTCCCTGGAGGAAATGTGATTAATTAAAATGAATAAACAAATAAAAAATAAGGAGTGGTTCCTCTGGTGTTTTCCAGTGGCCAGTGTTGGAACTGTACCTCACTCTGAGGACGAGGTTTTCACATCTCTCCTGCAGCAGCATCACCCTGCCCCCCAGCTTCTCATTTTCTTCCTTTGCTTTCTGACACTGATCTAAGGCTCTGTCTCTCTCCTCCTTCATAGTTCGGAGTAGTTCCTGGGCTTCATGTCTTTCCTCTTTTATCCTCTCCTGCTCCTCTCTCCACCGCTCCTCCTCTTCCTCTCTGGCCTCCATCTTTTCTTCCCTCAGTCTCTGAATGACTTCTCGTGCCTCAAGTTTCTCTTCTCTCATCCTCTCCAGCTCCTCCTTCAGCAGGTTTCTCTCCTGGCTCAGCTGAGCTAAGGTCTACACACACACACACACACACACACACACAGCAATGACTGGAAGCTACAGCTGAGGGGAGTGAAGACTTAAATTAAAGTCCACTGAATCAAGCTCACACCTCCATCCTGCGGTCCATCTCATCTTCTCCCTCCTTTAACTTCCTCCTCCTTCGGATCAGCTCCTCATCCTGACAGGAGACAGAATCATGAGCCTTCATTTGGTCAGATTATGAGGTCAGAGATCAGACATTCTCCATGACCTTTTCCTTCAGCTGCTCATCTTCATTTTTCAGCTCCAACTCGTCTACTCGATGCTGAAGATCTGTCTGCTTCAGGGTAGAATAACACAGATGGAGATTTGCTGTGAAACCTTAACAGTTGAACAGATTAAACAAGTAAACAACAATTCTGACTATGGTTCCTCCATGTGTGAAAATATTCCCAAGTCCTGCTTTTACACTTATAACAATGTTCACTTCTTTTGAATTTGAATTCACAGAGTTGTGGTTTTTGATTTTTCTTTGCCCTTCAACTCAGGTCAATAATTTGCTTCTCAGACAAATGAGGAACCCTGTCAGAGGTTCTTATTTCAGCACTAGGACATGTATTTTTCTATATTTTAGGGATAGAGTGAACAGGTCAAATAATCAGTATGTGGTTGTTTCTGGGGTCAGGTCAGTCCAGCACCGTGGAGTCACCTTCTCTTTCAGAGACTTCGTCTCCTCCACCACCTCCTCCTCCTCCAGACGTTCCATGTCCGTCTTCTTCTGGACACTCAGCCTCTCTCGTTCCGCTGACGTTTCCCTCTCCACAGCATTTTGCAGCTCTTTAAGCTTCGCCTCACTCTCTTCTTTCAGTTTTCTTTTCTCTTCTTCCTCCTTTTTTCTAAGCTCCTCTTGAAAGTGACGCATCCTCTCCTCTTTTTCCCTCAACAAACTCCTCCTAACCTTCTCCTCCTCCTCCTCAGTGGACGAAGCCTCCTCTGTGGTGGATTCACTTCTGTCCGGCTCCTGCCATCACAGTCACACACACAAGTTTTTCTTAAACATTAACAACAAGAATGTACTATTTGTTTTTTGTTTTTTCTAGGGATGTCCGATATATACTTTTTGCCAATATTTATCAAAAATGTAATTTTCAATTCCGATATCAACCGAAAAAAGACTCGTGCACCTACAGCAGTGTTGAGCGGCTCTAGGCCCCTCGGAATGCTGGGTAATCCAGGGAGTGCAGGAGAAGGTCCAAAGACGGAGCCCGAGCCTGAGGTTAGACCTCGCAGAGGAGGCAGACGAGGCAGTGGAGAAGGCAAAGGTTCTAAAGCTGACATCGGCGCCTACATGTGGTGGAAACAGAGTTCAGTCAGGACCGTGGTTCATCAGTGTTGAAAAAGTTAGACTCACATCAGGAGTCCTCACTGGCTCCTTCAGTTTTACTTTTCTTCTCATTCTCTCCATCGCTTTCTACCAGCTCACACCGCAGCCGTGAACTCAGGGCTGCAGACGGGGCATCCAGGGGGCGCTATAAACTTACGTAGCTTAAACCACAGTGGACAAAAAGAAGGAAAATAAACAAAACGGTTTATTCAGGTAACAATAGTGTTGCTGAAATGTTTCATGACATGTGGTGACAGTACTGTATAGAGTAGGGGGTCAAACATACAGACCGTGGGCCAAAACTGGCCCGTTAGGGGGTTCAATCTGGCCCGCTTGATGTATTTTGAAATTAAAAACATCACCAGCACTTCTGCACTTCTGTTTTAAATTTTTTTTAAAGTTTTTTTTAGACAGATTTTCATCTAGACAGCATGAAACTTCAGGCTGAAACACAATCCAATCACATCAAAAACAGACGGTAAGAGTCCGGCACATGTATCGTGTTGGATGAATTATATCATATTTGAATTCAAATTAGATTCTTCCACCTTTTTTTGTGACATGAGTTTGTTAGGTTCAGAGCCAGAAGGTAGAACATCAACAGACTTCTTAACATCAGCTGAACAGCAGAGAGTGAAGCAAATAACAAAAGACCAACAACTGAACTCAAAACCTGACAAACCACAAACAACACAATCATTTAAAAACAACCCACAGGAAATTACCCACACAACCCAAAAAAAAAAACCCTCTGTGGTGGCAGACTCTGTCTTTTATACCCTCCTGTTGTCTGCTGGACCAATCAGCTGCAGTGTCACACACCTGTCTGCTCAATCAGCCACACACACCTGCAGCACATCACACACAATCAGTGACAACAGAACAGTATTCTACAGGAAGTGAACAATATGTACAAGGGCAACTCGAAAAAGTTCCAAGAAAATTTTAGTCAAATCCTTAGTTTTGGAAAATAACAAATATATTTCTCTACGTGTCCTTTATTAAAATTTAATAAATAGTAATACAACTAAACATCAGACGAAAATGTAATGATAATCCCTGTCAAATCTCACGCGCGTCTCAAAAGTGTCTTAAGTTATGAAATTGAGGCTAACACAAAAAGCTAATGTGTTAGCTAAAATACTTTCCCATAATGCATTGCTCAGGGAAATAAGATACGAAAACAAACACACATTTGTGAGCGAAAGTGTTTTGACCAAATCTACTCAACCGACGTTTTAAAATATATAAAAATTTCTACATCAAATTATTTTAATTAATTTTATTTTTTTTACCTGGAAAACAGCAACGAGGCTAATTCATTTGTCAAAGCTACAAACTTTCCCGCAATATTTTCTTTGTCCACATCTTTACATTGGTGTCTTTGGAGGAAGTGTTGGGTAGAGAAAAGGCAAGTCTTTGATCTGTGGTGCTTTGATCTGGGCTACCAACCTCTATTTGACAGTGTTACACGAACGCCACACGGATGTAATGCGGTTCTAATTAAAGGTGAAGAAAAGATGTCTTTGATCCTTTGATGTAAACCAATAAAGACAGACTGGTTTTACATAATCTTTTCTCATAAGCTTCAAATCAGCTTGTCTTTTTGGAAGTGAACGGCCTTTGTGCAGCTCCGTCGCAAACCTAACACCGATCACCATGGTAATGTTGGACGACTGTTACTTCTTTTACTACTCCACGTGCACCAAAGACAACTGTCCCTTCAGACACTGCGAGGAAGCAAAGAGCAGCGAGACCGTCTGCAGGCTGTGGCAGGAAGGACGCTGCTCCCAAACCACCTGCAGGTTCCGCCACATGCACGTCACGAAAAGCCAAAAACCAACGTCTCGTTTTTTGGAGAAACAGCCAGGAGGCCAGAAACCGTACAGTCCTTTCTTCTTCCAACAGCCCAGACAAACTGACGTCGCCCCCATGGTCAAAAAGGGTCCAGGTTCAGGTCTAGGTCCAGGTCCAGGTCCAGTTTTGCCAGGGTTCCTGAGACACAAGATGAAGAGAGTGCAGCAAATGAAGTGGCCTGGTCTGAAGTGGGTGAGGCAGTGTCTGGAGAACCCTCCAGAGGAGACCCCAGGTCAGGACACAGTGAGGGTGAAGACCCTGGAGGAGATCCGCAGGGAGAAGGCGGCCAGGGTTCAGGTTGAACAGAGAAAGGAAGCAGAAAACAAAAACTGTGATGCGGACGAGTCTGCAGCGATGGACTGTGGTTTCAAAGAAATGGATTCTGCAGGTCTGTCCTCCTTGAACACCTTCTTCTGCTGTAGGTCCAGCATGGAGGAGCTGCTGGAGGAGTTTAACTGCCCTGACCTGGATGAAGGCTCTGATGGTGGAAAACCACTGCAACAGGTCCTGGCAGAGCTGATGGAGCTGTGCAGCAAATGTTGACCACTGATAAATAACCCTGTCGTCAGTCTAGAACCTGCCGGAAAACCGTGTTCTAATGGTGGAACCATCGTGTGTCTGGACTCAGTGTTGGATTCTGGTAAATCAGTTGATGTCCTGTCTTAGTCCCAAGACCTTTTATGATTACACTCTGTGTACAGTCATGTCCGGGCGTGTATTGACTAAGGATGTCGGTGACTGATATTAGCATAATTATGTAATATAGATAAGAACTTCCTCGTACCTTACCAAAGGTTGAATAACAATTGCAACAACCGTTGCAGTGTCTTTAAAACTGTGACAATGTTGCGATGCATGGCAATGTCTTTTTTGCTGCTGAAGGTCGCAGACATCCTGGAATTTGAGGCCTAGCCGTGCTAGCACCATCGTACCTACTAGCCTAACTGTTTGTCGGAAACAATGTCACTGCATTCTTCCCTGTAGTTGAAGTTTAAACTTCAAGCACATGACAGTAAAACCAACAAAGCCATAATGCATGAAAACCAATGACTACAGCACCTCCAGTGGCAAAATTGTGCACTGCAGCTGTTTTTTTTCCCGACACGCAGGAAGATGTTTTAAATAATAATTATAATTGAAAATAATAAAATAAAACCCCAGAAACCCGTGATCACTGCCATCATTTTTATGAACAATAATTTACAACTTACAAAATGAATAATTATATAATAATTACTCTAAACACTGAATGATTACATTCTGTACACAAACTGTTTTTACAATCATGCCGATGAATAGTTACAATATTACATTCAATGCATTTACAACATATTGCAGTTATTTGGCATTAATCACTTTAGTGACTGTGTGTGTGTGTGTGTGTACTTGGTAAATTGACTTGTGGGGACATGAACCACCAGTGTTTTGGGGACACTGTTCTTATGGGGACATTTTACAGGTCCCCACTGAGTGTGAGGACATTTTAAAATTCATTTTGGAGTTATTAGAATTCATGTTGGTAAATTAGGTATTTATTTGTAATAATTAAGGTGTGTGTGTTTTTGTCTCTCCTGAGTTGGAAGACGGGTGACCAGATTTTTTTAAATTTTTTTTTTAAATTGTCTAGAGGTTGGGGTCAGGTCAGCCCACACTGAATAATTTATGACAATAACAAAGCTTTATTTTTTTTTTCTATTGCACATAGTAAAAACTAAAATCAAATTACGTAATTTTGAAAATCCAATAGTATTTGAATAACCTTAAAATGTCAGGACTGCGCTTTTAACGGAAAATGAAGAAAAAAAATGAAAACAAATAGATTAAAAATTAAAAAAAAAATTAGTTAATATTTATTGTGTCTCCTGCAGGTTCTCTTTCATTGTTTGTAATTTATTTGCGTTTGTACGGCAGTGCGTTAAGCTCTCTCTCTGTGAAGGTCGCTGTTGTTCTGAAACGTCTGTTTGTGTGGATCGTTCACAAAAACACATTTGTACATGAACACAATAAAAGTTTTTAAAAAGTCGAAGCTCATGCAGCCTACAGAACACTTAGACTGTTCAAGTCATTTCCGCACAGAGCTTTTGTGTCATGCAGTTTTACTTCATAGTAAGTGAACCGACGAAAACTACACACTGACTGCACATCTTAATGAGCCATGCAGCGTTTCTGTTTAAGGTACTTTGATCACACGTCCATCATCACTGAGACAAAACTGTGGCGTGACTCTCCACCAACCACACACTGTTGAATGAAAATCAAAAGGACAAAGTGTCATCGTGTCACAATTAAGTTGCATGTACCCTGATTATTGATAGTGCATACGAAGGGGGTTCTTCACTTCCTCTCATTCACTACTTCATGTCACTACTCTCCCCCATCTGATCAGTCCAATGACTGGAGAAGCTGGACACCTTTGGGGTGCGTCTCCCTGGCCTCATACCGGACCTGGTGGCGGTTTGTGACCCGCCTCCTCCTCCTCCTCCTCCTCCTCCTCCTCCTTCCTGGGCTTGTTGGATCCTAAAGGCCTCCCTCAGGTTCTGAGCTCGCACCTCTTTACTGTGGATCTCCTCCACCAGTCGACAGGGGAACCAGCCCCTCTCACCGTCATGAAGTCGTTCACCCATCATCCAGCCTGCGGCGTAGAAGAAAAGAGTAAAACGGACTGTTATTTTTACGAAGAATTTTATAAGGTTTTCTCCTGATGGAGTGGTTTGCTCCTGTTAGATTAGCCACTGCACGTGGTTGTCGTTTTTATACCAAAGACTGGGTCGCGACAAAAAAGATTTTTTTTTTGGGTCGTCTCGCATGTTTGTCGTTTTTATACCTTAGTGCAGGTGGGTTCGCAAGAGATTTTTTTTTTGGTCGTCTCGCATCATCCTAGGAGTAATGAATAATGTCTATTGACTTGGGTCTAATGTCTATTGACTTAAGTCACGAAGTTTTGTAACTTTTAAAATATGGGTCCCCACTTTTAAAATAAGTTTGGGAAACACAGGTACTGTACACTGTAAAGTACAGTCCTTGGTTTACGACGTCCTCGACCTACAGTGTTTCAGGGCTACATCGTCTTCTCCCATTAATTCATTAAGAAAGTCTCGTTCCATCGCAGACTTTGACGCACGGGCACTTTGATCTCTAAACCTGTCACGTACCATCTTCAGTCCTCTCCAGGAGGTTCAAAACATCTGCCATCTCAATGGAGAGTTCGTCAGGCTCCTGAGAAGAGTATGACTGAATACACTGCACCTGTGGAGAATCTGCAGATCACACACACACACACACACACACACACACCATATTATAACTTTGTAACAACTACATGGCTTACAAAATCCCAATGGGAAACAAAATGTTTCCCTTTTAACCACTAGAGGGAGCCTATTAACAACTACTGCTCCAGGTACCATAGTTTGAGAACCATGCACCTGTGCTTTCCATTCTTTCTCACCTTGTTGATGAGCATTGGTGGACATAAATCGTGTTCGTCGGTTGGGAGTGAGTGCACACATCCATCGCAGTTTGTCGCTCCTGTCCACAAAAATATTTTTTCAGTCATTTTTTTTTAGCATCAATACTTCGTACGACATCTCACTCCCGGAGGCTCAAAAGCCGCAGCAGCTTTTTCTACTTCAGTCACTTACACACTGGCAGTTTTCAGCGTGTAGTTGACCTCACGGTCCTCCTGGTTCTCCAGGAGTTTGAGGTTAAAGACACTGGCCAGCAGCTGGCCCTGGTCATCAAGATCTTCAGTCCTCAACATGGCCCGCGTGCACCAGTCAATAACCTGGAATTTGTCTCCACTGACAGAGAGAGACAGCTTCATGAACACTTTTTTTTTGTCAAAAATGCCGTGTCTACCGACAAAAGTTGAAGGACGTCACTGACCTGGAGCTGGGTTTGGTCACCAGGAGCAGATTGTTAAAAAGGAACAGGTAGATTGGCTGGTACATCTTACGACTCCTCATGGTTCTGGTGCTCTTTGGTCCGGCCATGAGCTGCACTTCACCCTTCTTTAGTAACCAGCGTGAGTGGGAAATGATGGGCACTGACTGGAAAGTGGAGGAAGGAAGTTATAAAAATAAAAAAATAAAATAAAAGACCAAAATGTCGTGCTGCCGAGTGGCCCATGTCAGGAGTCGTAACTCAATATATTTTAGCCCTGTGCTAAACTGAAGCATTAATGTACTGACCTTGGATTTGAACTCCAGCGTTTTCTCGATCCTGATGAGTTCTTCAGTGCGACCCATCTTCCTCACGCCCTCGTTACATTCTTTCACGATCTGATCGGAAACACAGGTAAAGAGACGGCCCATTAAAACAACAAACAATAGTGAACCTCAAAGAAATCTGTTTTTTCAGCTCACAGATAAAATACATAATGAAACATATGTCTGAAAATAATGGATGTTGAAAAAACAAGACGCTCACCTGCTCCAGTTGCTGATGAGCTTTGATAGCGTTCGTTTCCCTCTTGGAGTTTTCTTCAGCTTTTTTCAGGATGTTCTGTGACGAGAAAGTCCCAAAAAAAATTCCACAACAGGGAAATAAATAAATAAAAACAAATAAGAAGGTTTAAAAAAAGGTTAGGCCAAACCGGTAAACTCACCTGTACGAGCAGTTTAAGCCTCGTGATCCTCTGGAAAGGAAGGATGAGGAAGGAAGTGAAGGAAAGACCCCTGACCCTAGGATGGTTCTCCAGAGCAGACATGGTGTCCCGGAAGGCCTGGTTTCCCTCTCTGGGCAGTCGCACGGAGAGAAAAAAAGAGTTTTTCAGAGTCAGCGACACGTCATCCAGTTTTGGCATTATCCCAAAAAATCATGACCTTTGTTCTGATTATGTGGCGTTGTCTGTTTACACTCAGCTGCAAAAAAAAACCCCTTAAATTATCCTCTATCCACAAAAACAACTTCCTGCAAAAGGTCGCACCAGTGAACTCTGTTTTGTAATATAAGTTTTTTTTTAAACCCATACACAGATATATGCAAAATTATTATTTCAAAAGTGCTCAACTTTTTAACTTAACGTCAACTTTTATCACATCATTAACTCGACCGTGTCAGGCCAAAGCTCCCACTTTATTCTTTAACAACTGTCACTTTGGACTTTCACTGCAGTGTTGGTCTTATTAGCTTCTCCCAAATGCCGACCCTACCGACAGCAGGTGGCGCTGTAAATCTATATTTGTAGGACATTTATATATCACACTAATGATTTTTACGATATGTTTATGACAAACAATCTTCAGTTTCACTCCAGTGACGTCCATTTCCTTATTGTCTCGTACAGTAATCGATAGTCATTTTAATATATATATATCACTGATGAAAGTACCTAAAACAGCCTGTTGGGGGCCTGTGTGCGTGTGCTCTCCTACACTCAGAAACAGCGTGTGGTGGGTGCAGCTGACAGAGTACAATAGACAGACTGGTTTTATTATAAGGGGTCACAGGTTTCTGCTGCGATACGTGTTGAAAAGTCCAAAGGTGGCAGAAGAATTCAGCCATAAACTGGAGTCACACATCACCTGTGTCTGCTTCACACACGGTTATTTAGAGTTTCGAAACAGAATATTAAGAATGGCTCGACGACATTATGATCAATTCCTACATAAATTCCCACTTGACGTGTGGATTAATTAACTGTTTGAACAAGATCTGGTTGCAGGAAGCAAAAAAGAAAAAAAAAATCATTATGGAACTCAACCTGCCGTCCGATCGTCTACATGACAAATTGGAACAGAACTTGTTTGTTGAACGTACAGCGTGTTCCACAGAGAAGAGTTATGAAATGAAACTGCTGCTGCTGCTGCTGCTGCGTCAAGGCCCTGTGTGTGTGTGTGTGTGTGTGTGTGAATGTGGAGTAAAGGCAGCAAATCGCCTTTGTTTCATAACAATAACTAACCGCAGAAATAATCTGCTCTGGAATGAGTGGCAGTGAAAATCTCTTAAGAGTCCACGAGGCTGAATAGGAGACGGAGAACAGGTCTCCACCTCCTCCTCCACCTCTTCTTTCTCCTATCAGATATCATAATTATTAGTCACTGAGGTTTTTCTTTTCTTTCTTTTTTTTTTGTTCAATGTACCTTCCTAGATCAGTGGTTCTCAAACTTTTTTGGTCGTTCCCTTCAATCCACAAATATCTTGACCAATTACAAACGCCAAGAAATGTGTGTAACGAATCAATATTCAAATTGCACAAAGATCAGTTGTGACATCATCAACCTTGAAAATGCCCCCTCCTCCCGTGTGTGACCCCCACTTACCAGGTCACCGTTCCCACTAATCACAGTAATACTTTTTACTCCCCCTCCTCCTGATTTAAGATGTTTGTTTCAAATACACTTTTTTTTGTGATCCCTGGTTCAAATGGTGCATTGTGGGATTGCATCACTCCCAGTCTGTGGAGTGTAGTTGATGTACAGTAAAAGGGACACATGGCATTAACGTAGTCAAATACACCCTGTACTCCTGACATGCAGTGATCAAAGACAAACCTGTTCTCTGAAAAGCGACAACAGGATGTAGTCGTTAAAAGAACCTGTGTCTGCATTCTTGGTCTCCGGCTTCTCACTACGTAAACACGTTATTTTCACAGGTCGACCTTAAAGTCACAAGGTGACCCCGCACCAAGACAGACGATAAAAAGCAGCAGAGGACGTTAGCCGCTCCGATCGCCTGAAACTGTTGTTGATGTACAGAAGACCTAATTACCGTACATCAATTGCTAGAAAAAAAAATTGCTACTCACAGAATGCGCCTGTAGTTCTTCTCCTGGTACACCTGGTTGATGACATATTTGATGAAGACACTGAAGTGCTCCACGGCGTGGTGATAAACAATGTCGCACACCTCGGAAATCAAGATGGACTCCTCGATGCGGTGCTCCAGATCCATCAAGAATCTGGAAAAACAAAATCAACAAAGAACCATGACGTAAACGCAGGTCAAGGTCTGGATCAACCGTTGTCCCGCCAAAACACAAACTAGAAATGCATCTCACCTCTCACTTGCTTTCATGACCTCCTCGATGTTCGAGAAGAGGAAGTGCATGTCTGATTGGCTGAGAGTGTTGACCAACACCGGGTTCCGCAGGAAGTGCGTCTCTAATATCTCCAGACTCTTGTAGTAGGAAGCTTCTGAGGTGACCAGCTCAAACATGGCCTGCAAGAGAAGGTGAAACCAGAGGACGTCTGATGATGAGTGGTGTCTGCAGTTACACTCATAAAACAGAAGGGGGAGATGTGTGCAGGAAACCACACACAAACATCTGACAGTAAAGGTGTTTACCATCAGTGACTCATGTGTTTTTGCAACACTTTTGTGAAGCAACAACAATGAAGCAGACTAAATATGAAAAAACAAACAAACAAACAAAGAGCTGCAGCTATCGTTATTTTGGTAATCCATTAATCTTGTAATCTGATCTAATCTAGTGAAAATGACGTGTCTGAAAATGACAAAATGAGAATATACTATATATATATCAGTCCTAAAAATTAACAATATCATACTGTGAGTATATGATACAATGTTAAAAATAAAAATGTGAAACACAAAAGCGGGACAGATGTTTAGCACCAGCAAAATGAATGATTGATCTTTATTGCTAACTTGGATTGCTTGTTGCCATTAAGATTTTTTTTGTAGCATACAGCTATCAGTTAGCAGTCTACTCTATTCTATTCTATTGTGTAGTTAAAAAGTGAAAGGGAATTTGTCATTTGGTGGACTTGAACCTGAAACCTTCCGCACCCAGGTCCGCTTCCTTAACCACTGCCCCCTGTACATGCTACAAAACATCAGCGACAGACGCAGCAGAAATATAAGGCTCCACGTCAAACAGCTCTGCTGTCGTCTCTGAACTCCCTCCTGTCAAAAAGCAGTGCATGTTGGCAGAGCATCTTTTTTTTTACACTCGCACCAAAAAAACAAATCCATACAGTCGTCGTTGTCGATTCTTAAATTACCTTTGACCCTCCGTCACAGCCATGATGTGCTAGAATCAGTTGATAATATAAAAAAACATGCAGCTAAACACTGCATTGATCCCCCCCCCCACCCTCTTCAGATCCTCAGAGCTGCTGTGAGGAAAAATAGCTCTGCGAACACCTACATTCCAACAGCCTGCAATGCGTCTCCATCCTGTTTCTCAGCTTCTTTGTTATTGCTCTATAACGTTACATAAAGAATCACACTTACAGCCCAAAGAGTCGTGCCAAACGTTTGGCGTTACGAGAGGTCTTTGGTTCAGAAAGAAGACAACTGACCTCTTGCATGATGATTTCCTTCTGCGGTAACTTGGTCAGGAGCCCGCTGGCCAGCACCACGTCCAGGTTTTGCCATAAGCTCAGAGAACGAGAGTTGTTCCTCAGCTGCAGCTGCAAAGAGCCGGGCGACACCACGTCGGGCTCCGAGGCCAAAGTCCCTGCAGTGACCATGGGAGAGAGACTCTCCTGCTGCCGCCGCTGCTCTATCTCCTGCTGCTTGGATGTGTCTCGGTATTCCTGGTACAGGAAAGCTGAAGGGTCAGAAGGAAATGTGTCAGGAACATGGAAAACAGATGGATGGAATTTTTTATATATATTTTCTGCTGTGCTATGTGAAAGCAGTGACCTTCTAAAATGGGGTTTTCCCGACATTTTTCTGAGCAGCGGACAATAATTTACTTTTTGATTTGATAAATCCAACGGGGCACCACCGATCAAAAATGTCACAAAAGGTTTATTTTATAAAATATAATAATCTTATATCAATTTACACAGTTGACCTACTCTGTGTGAAACCCGGGCCTGTTTAGTTGAACACAGGAATTGAAGAAAGACACACACGAAGAACGGTGCTTAATTTTTCTGTCTGTCACTGTCCCATTGACAGTGAGTCAAAGTATTTGCAGAAAATAAAGAATAGTTTCAAGGTGAAGTTGAACAATTTTCCACGGTACACACAGAGATCTTTTCTAGACGTTCCTAGAAAATAAATTAATTCACAGAAGAAAAATAAGTATAAAAATATACTCTCTTTTGATATAATTAGTCTGTATAACATTATTGGACAAAGATGTTAACAAAAAGGCAGCAGGGTCAGTAGGTGGTGCTATGACGGCCCAAAATCTATAAACAGATGCAGTACAGCACCTGGTCATACGAGACACACACACACGCGCGTGCGCATGCACACACAGACTGATACTGCGTCCTTGTCACTGTCCTGGAGTTTCAGCCGAGTTAAAAAAGTTACTGATAAGAAACGGTTGGTTCTGTGTATATGACGAGGGAGGGAGACTCAACAACTGAACAACAGGAGCCTGTTGCATAATTTCCTTCAGTTCTATACTGCAGATCGTTTTGGTGGGCGTCGAACTGGACTGAGGATTACATAAGACACACTCTCTCTCACTCTCTCTCTCTCTCTCTCGTTCGGGGACGGGTGTTCTCCCTCTCATCTTTGTCCTTTGTTTTTGAGTGTTAGAACTCCTGCGGACAGCTGCCTTGAGTAAATGAGCGCTAATCCCTAGCAAATAGCTATGATCCTGTTTACACACTGGAGTACGGCGCGCAGCCTGTCAACACTGCAGGTCGATCCTCCAGCAGGCGGGCTCGACCTTGAAAACATGAAGCTGTGACAGTGTGGAATCCAATGATTTGACCCGAAATCTTATGAAGGCTGTAAGTGGAAATGTCAGAGGACGTTGTTGCAGCAACAGCTGCTCCTCTTCTGGAGGTGGTAAAAGTGGGTGGATTATATGAGCTACCTTTGCCCTGAAACACCTTATCTCACCGATGTTTTTGATGATGTTGAGGCTGTGGCTGATTGTCTGAGAAGTCTGTCCATTGCTCAGCAACCTGTGATGACACAAAACAAGAAATCCATGTTTGGATTTTATCCACGCAGATAAATGTATACCATCTCTTCATGGTTCGTCTTAAGGTTACAACGTCATTCTGATCAAAATACATTGTTGATGTCTCTGTGCCTCACATTCCACTCCTATTCAGTGATCACTATATCTGATCCATCATTTATGCACCTTGTTTTTCAACGGTCTAAAAATATCCCCCGGTATCTAGTCACCATTTAGTCTGCTGTCGGTAAGAAAATTCAATTATATTCCCTCTGAGGAATTTCCTCGACTCATTCCCGATGCAGTTATTTTCTTACCTGAAACCGAAGTAATCCCGGTCCCCTTCATTAGAACTGGACTGCTGTGCGCTCATGTCTGCCTTCTTGACTTCCTCTACAGTACAAGACGTTGCTGTTTGCTCTGAGAGCTTCCTAATGTCACCGCTGTGGACGCCGTGAGTCCGATACTGGAGCTTGTCATCTGTGAAGTGTCTGTGTTGGCTGTTGGAGGCAGCCGATACGTCCGCACTCCCTCCACCCACACCTTCTCTTCTCTTATCCACAGCATCCTTACTGTACAGAGCATGTCTGCTGCTGGCCTCACCATTGCTTGGCAACACAGTTCTGGAATGATGAAGCATTGGTTGAGGAAGAGGGTCGAAGTTAATAGCAGAAAAAGTAGCTTTATGCACACATCAGTGTTAAACACACACTTTTGCCCATGTTTGTTTACATTAGGGTTGAAAACATAATTCGGGAATTGTTTTTTTTTTTGTTTTGATCATAAGAGCTCATCATACTTACTGACAACATAGTTCACTGTATAAACACATCAAACCCGTGATGTCTTATAATATCGACGGGCTATTAATATCAGACCGATATTAGCATAATTATGTAATATCTGTAAAAATCATTATTGTTTTTTTTCTCTGATAATGAAAACCTTGTAACTCAATGCCTGGGTTTCGCTAAACGATATGTACCCTAAAATAGTTTGGGGGACAAAATGTCTGTTTGTGAAAGTGAAAGCCACTAGATGGCAGAATTGCAGCTCATTTTATTAATCTATTTTAATAATCAGTGGATTGTAAGCAGAATGGTTCCAGCAACTGCCGCACTATATCGGTACTGGTTGATATCGGAACAGCAACTGCTGCACTATATTGGTATCGGTTGATATCGGATGTGTTTGGTCAATATAAGTTAATATCAGACAACGCTAAATCAAACGTTTACTTTGCGGACCGTTAATTACTGTATTCAGTCAATATCGGAATCATATCAAACATCGGCAAAAAGTTAATATCAGACACCGCAAAATCAAACGTTTGCGGACCGTTAATTACTGTATTCAGATGACTTTTTGTATTATTATTATCACAAGAAGAAGAAAAAAACATTTTTTTCAATTTATGCAGTCGTGCACATCTGCTCTGTCTCACTGCTCTGTGAACCTGACTGTAAACTGACAAGTCTCCACCGAACCACTCCTATAGTTCTCCATAAATGGATGCAGATACACCCTGCTATGCTTGTACGTACACAGGTCCATACATGTGGCTTCTCCAACACTCATCTATTAAAACTGTCAAAGTAAAAAACACACACACACACACAGAAGTACATTTCTATAGAGTCTTGCATCGGCACGTTTCGGAGTCTATCGCAGCTTTAAAACAGCTGTTTCTCGAGCCTTAAACCAACACAGCTAAACCATCAGATATGACATGTCATCATTATCACTGAAGCAGATCAGGCTGAGGCAGGCTACAAATAAAGATCAGTAAAATAAATAAGGTTGTGTGCCATTTTTTGGCGCCTTTAAGCTGCAGCAAAAAATTCTGCAACGTTGGATGTGATGCAGATGATGGTCTCATTTATCTGCAGTTTGGGACCAGTTCAAGACCGTAGCAGTAGAAGACCACCGCTTTGTTTTTCTGTGGCCAAGTACAACTGGTAACTTTGGATTAAATCTTCTGGCCCTGAGATAGAAACACAGAAACTAGCGGACCCTGGACTCAAACCCACAACCATGCAGTTGGAAGATTAGCTGTTATAACGGCTCCTGACTGTTCTTTCATTATATTCAATTAATAGATCGATGGGAAAGCACCAAAATCTGCCCTGTGCTCTGGGTGCAGTAAAGAGCAGCCCACCCCTCCTGTGGGTCTGGTATTAACCACTGGGTTGTTGCACATGTGACTCAAAGGGAGAGAGAGAGTAAATTCCTTCAAGGAATTACTCTGAGTACTGGAAGAAATACTGTAATACATAAGAACCTGGTCTTGTTTTGCTAATTTGGTGACCACAAATTATACACTTGTAAAGTCGTAAAAATCAATAGAAGCTCAATCAGAGTCATAAAAGTTACAGTCACTGCACTACAATAATATGAAATAATAATAATAATTTAAAAAAAACTGAAAATTAAAAGATGTTTGTGGGACATCAAATGTCAACATGTCCTCATAACATTATCATTTGTCACTGATTTTCCAAAGTTCGTCAATGAAGCGTTGTTAATGGCCCCACCTACTGCCAGGACGTCAAAGTGAGTCTGTCGGTGCACAGATGTCACTCTTGTCTCTAAATCATGTCGCAGACAGTCACGTGTGGAAAAAGGTGTGTGAAGTAAGGAGTGGCTGGAGGTGGTGCAGTGTTGACTTTTTAATACTCAAGTAAAAGTTCTGTTCTGTTTAATGTTGAGATATCATAACATAGTACTACAGCATATGAATTGAGATATCATAAGATAGTACTACGAACATACTGCATATGTTTAAAAAAAATTAAATTAAATTAAATTAAATTAAATTAAAACTGCTTTACATTCACATGTATGCATTTAGCAGACACTTATTATTATTATTATTTATTTATTTATTATTTTCTGTTTTTTATTCAGAGAAACCTTGAAACTTTTATCATCGTACAGAGGAGGATTAATATCATCATTATAAGTATGTGACCACAATTTAATTAATTAATTAATTAAATTACACCTTAAATTTAATTTGAATTTAATTAATTCAGAATTGATTAATTACATTAATTCAAAACTGCTTCAATTAAATTAAATTAAATTAAAACAGATTTAATTTAATTTAATTTTTTAAGGTGAATGAATTTTGAGGTGAATGAATTCCAACTTAAACCGACATTGAACACTGAATACTTAATGTAATGTGTTTTTAAAAGAACTCTGCTGACTGCATAAATTAATTAATGTAAGCGCCTCAACTTTTTTTTTTGTCAAAAAGTGTCGTAGCCAGTGTGGTCAATTCAAAGTCATGGTAACGGATCAGTCACACTGAACTGAATGGTTTATTGATTCAAATTTGAAGCTTAAATGTACAGTTTTCAACTGTCCTTCACGTGAGATGTCAGACCTTTGTCCTTATCAGACACATTCAGTACCGTACAGTACAGTACAGTACAGTATAAGACGGTGTTTGTTTAGGTGCTGTGTGTTACTGCTTCCTCCTGGGGTGTGTTTGTGTTCATTTGATGGGTTGGGCAGCGTTGGCATGCAGACTTACCGTCTAGCAGTGGGCAGCGGTGATTTGTGTGGTATGGGAGAGTTAGAATTAGAGGCACCTGCTCTCCTGGATGGACTGTTGTCAGCGCCACACCTGGGAGAATCTAGAGAGACAGAGAGTGATAGAGACAAAGAGAGAGAGGGTGAGAATTTGCATGTTCATATTTTGTTTTGCAACACAGCATGACTGGTTTACCGCCGACTGCTTATTGCTTGGTTGCCAACTAAACAATGTGAAATCCCCAAAAATCTCTTTGTCTTCCTTCACTCACAAATCACGTGTTTTGCCACGTGGCTAGTCTTTCTTTCAGAAAACAAATATTCTGTAAGATTTCAGACGGCACAGCTAATGTGTGAAACCCATAGTCGAAAATAAAACCAAATTCTAAAGTTACGTAAGTAAGCAACTTCAGAATTTCAAGTTGCACTTGGTCAACGATAACAAAAAACAATCTTAACCTGACAATAATCGACCAATCAGTTCTGATAAAAAAGAGTGATATTAGGAGTGAAGTGATTTAGAGCAGGGGTCTCCAACCACCGGTCCTTGGTCCAAACAAAGGTCAGGGACCGCTGATTTAGAGGATTTCCCAACAACACGCTGCCTAGTTGTTCCCACATCCTTTGCGTGGAAAGAAAACTTCCCCCCAATTGATAAGACAAATTTAACGCTTGACATCAAATGTTTATTTGGGCTGTAAAATATTATACTGTTATATGTGAATTAGTCGCACTGGCAGATAAAGAGTCCTGCACTCGGTGGAGTTTTACTTTCGTTACACCGTGCATCACTAGTCCTTATGTTTACATTACCCACTCAAAAAGGGAATATAAATAAATATATTTGATCTTCATTGATCCATTACCCTACTGTTAACTGCCCGTAGCAGGCGGCAAGCATGTGGTTCCTATGGAATCGAACCCAGGACTCTGCTTCTGAGGAAGGCGTGCTAACCGCTATACTATGGAACTGATCATTTATCTGCTGACTCATGGTCGTAACCACTGACCTGTCAACAGCGAGCCCAGAGTAATGGATATTTGTCTCTGTGTCTTAATGACACACATCTGAACAACACTGTATTAATGAAGCTGTCAATCACTGTGTTCCATGAGTCGTCGTGGAGTGAATTCCCTGTCTGCGTCATCAGCGTCCCACACGGTTAAATGAGTGACGCAGACGTGTCAGCAGCCGACACGACATCACAACCGTAGTAGAGAAACAATGTGTGTGCTGTGGTTCCTGCTAAATGGTGGTGTGACATGTATAACACAACGGAACCGTGAAAACACTCATCAGTTTCCTGATTGGCTTATTTTTGGACTTCTTTAGAAAAAGACAGTAGTAAAAAAAAAGTCATTAAAAAATGAACTGGTTTTCAACGGTGCTGTAATTTAGTCATTATGAAATTAATCAATATGCGATAATCACGATTTTTCGTTTTACAATATCGTAGCAATATTCCAATTACCCGTCAAATATTCCTGGTGTTGGTTCATTTTATTTTGCTTTCATTTCTTCCCTAGTGATTCCAAATGTTGATCCCTCTGATCCAATTTTAGTAACTCGAATTTAAGATGGAACAGCATTGTGTTTATTATGCTATGCTATGACAGTTTTACTCCAATAAATTGCTTAAAAAAACCCCTCAATATATCGTCGTGCCTATAGTATTGCAGTATATCATAATACATCGTATTGTTGATCCTGTATCGCGATACGCATCGTATTGCCAGATTCTTGCCAATACACACCCCTACTGGGCAATCATTTTATAAATGCACCATCCAAACGGATGCTGCAAAAAATCTTACAAAAATAAATCCGAATTTTATAAATGCACTATCCAAAAGGATGCGGCAAAAAATCTTACAAAATAAATCCGCTCAAATTCTTACCGCAAATACTTAAGTTCAATTTGGTCGTGTCAATTTGTGTATGGTTTTTACAGTCTGACTTTTTTCGACAATGGGACAAAATAATGATATAACCGTTTTTGACGCCAGTGTCTTGTACTGTTGACAATTTCCCTCCGAGGATCAAAATTCATTTCTGATTCTGATTTTGTAAATAAATAGACTAGGATTATGAAGGAAATATTTGGCACCAGTTTTAGACACCGCCCGGTCATGTCTTCAATTCAAAGGCACTGTAATACACAAACAGTGAGTAGGAACTAAGTTGTTTGTCACGTTCAAAGGTGAGGCAAGGCCACAGCGACACTGTTCCGTATGTGCTGAAGCAGCGTCCGTTTCATCAACTGTAATCATTTTTAAATAGTTTCACTCTGTGAACACAGTCTGTGATTGTTCCTAATCTCTCTGTTGCCTTTGTTGTTCTGTTTTCTCCTCTCAGGTCTAGTGTTGCTTGCTCTAGTTCTTCAGTGAAAGTTGAAAGACGTCAAACACCTTTGATTAAAACTTTTTTTTTATCCCTGTCCCTGAAGGCTGTTAAAGTCAGAGCGATAACACAGAAACGACTCCTATCGTCTTATCTATAAGGTACGATAAGGCATAAAGGGGTTTTTAGAAAGTCATAAAAAGAAAGTTGAAGTCCAAGAATCCTGAGATTGCACTTGACAAATGAATCCTGGTCACGACTTGTTGGAACTTCAGAATGACTCGATGATTTCATCAAAAAGATTTTTCTAATCGCAGACTCGATTCGGCAAATTTAGTTTAGCTACTGTATAAGGATAAGTAATGTAACTAAAGATTAGCAGTTATTTATGTACACTAAACTTGTTTCTTTTTAATTGACAAATAGCAATAAGGATGCAAATTTAGCAGTTATTTATGTACGCTAATCTTGTTTCTTTTTAATTGACAAATAGCATATACTAGAGCCGGCTAATTCAAACAGTGGCTCGTGGTCCACATGTGACACAACCTCAGCCGCGGTCATTTGAGAGAAACTGAGATAATCAAAATTTTTACAATAGAACGAACTATAGAAGCAACAGTCTCTGTAGCCTCGCAACATGTAAGAAGTGTTTAGAATCTGACTATACTGAGGTATCTCTCTGTCTTAAACTAAAGCAAACTATTATCGACATAGATTAATCCTGAATTGACAGGAATAAGTTTAGGTTTATTGTTTTTATTCTCCATGCTGATGTTTACGATATGTGTGTGGGAAGTATGAAGACAATTAATGTTTTACAATAAGTTATGACTAGGTCAGGTTGTAAAACCAATATACAGGTCAGTTTGAGCTATAGTTCTAGTCAGCCAAACGTGTTGTAAACTAATTTAGATTTACATAAAAAAAAAAAAAACATTTATGCCTCTAATTTGTTTTTTATTTACACCAGTGGTTTTTGCTCAACCGTGTCACGTCTCGACACTAATGTTGCGAAACCGCACACACCTTAATTATAATCACTACTTACTATCAAAGATAAAACTAAAAGTAGAATCATTTCCTCATTTCCTCTGACCTAAAAAAAAAACATGACGGATACTAAAAAAACAAAATTAAAAAATAAATTGCTCGATTTCCAGCAAAAAATATTTGTTTTGATGTATGTAGATCATAGGTGTCAAACATACGGCCCGCGGGCAAAAACCAGCCCACTCAGAGGTTCAATCAAGTCCACTTGATACATTTTGAAAGTAAAAAAAAAAAAGCACAAACACAAATGATATAACATGACAAAACATGTGCTCAGTGTTATTTCCAGGTGATTATGTTGTGATCGTACTGGTTTACTGACTGTTTACTTGATGAACCAACATCTCACTGAATGTCTCTGACTCTGCATGACGACAGGCCTCAAGTCAGAAATATCATTTAATTGACGACCTACTTTTTAAACGTGTAGTTTCAGCGTAAAGTGGTGAGTCACGACTTTTCTTTGTTTGCTCAGACCAAGCCCTCCACAGATTATTATTTCTCTCCTTATTGATTGTGACCTGTTATTAGTTATTAGTTTCAGTTCAGACTGACACATTTTGGGAACCGGCCAAGTTCTTTCATACGGTATTTAAATTAAACATTTAATCCACACACCAGCGCAGGTGGAGTGATCCTGGTCACGATGATATCAGTTACAGATTTGTGAGAGATTAGATCTGGCCTGAACTTCACTGACACTCACTGACATGTAGTATTTTCTAATGTCTCCTCAGAGGACAACTATTTGTGACTTTGACAGACGTCAAACAACAACTGCCTGGCATTTGAAACCACTGTCTGTCTGGAAATTTTTTTTTTTTCTTTCGTTTCAGATATTGCACAACTGCAGCTGCTTGTCATATTGACATTCAAAAGGAAACACCATTGTCTGTCATAACAATTCTTTCCCATTGTGTCTGATGGGGACAGCAATAAAAAAAAAACATTTTGTGAGTTAAATGTTTTCGTTTTTTTTCTTCTCTGTTAAACATCTTGTATTTCAGGAACTTCTAACACCAAATCACGCTGCAGCTGCAGCTGCAGCGATTAATGAACAACGTTGGCATCATTATAGTTATCAAAACAATCAAATGTATGTGTGATATGTGAATTAATGTGTGTGCTACACCATACAGTCGCCACCGAAGACACTGTTCAACAGGTTTGAAGGCAGTGACGATTAAACGGATTAGGAGTAAACGAACGCAATTTGACGCATCGTTTGAACGCGGTGTTCTATAATTTAACAACTGGATATTTTTGCATTCTTAAAGTGTTTTTGTGCATGAGGGAAAATTGTTCTAATGAGTTGCATTTGCCAGGAAATAATTGTATTTTCTATTTATTATTGTTATTATCGTTACGCATCAAAAGTCATCGAATGTGATATTTTAGTTGTAAATGGATTAAAATGAGAAATTATTAAAAAAAAGTGATAATTTGAAGTAAATATTCACATTATTTTTTTTATTTTATTTGCTTTTTTCTTATTTTATGTAAAACTTGATGCCTTAAACTTGCGGCCCGCAGGCCAAAACAGGCCCACTGAGGGGTTCAATCTGGCCCGTTTGTTGAATTTTGAAAGAGAAAAAAAAATGCACAAACACTTCTTGTTCGTGACGTTTTGTCAAATTACATTTCATTAAATATGAATATTTTTCTAATGATTTTCTACGTATTTGTATAAAAACAAAGGTGAAAAACATGAACCTGTTGTTATTTAGATGTAATTGTGTTATGAAGGGACCGATCCCGCCCACTTGACATCCAATCCGACCAAATGTGGGCCCTGAACCACAAAGGAAACCGCTCCATTGAAACATGTCTTTTTCACACTGCTGCTGTCAGCCATCCTGGCAGTTACATATTAAATCTTTCCATTTGAACCCCCCCACCCCCTCCCTCGCTGCTGTACTGTATCTGAGATGGGGGCAAGGTCTAACATCAGACGCTTGATTGTGGCATTTGGTGTGGCTCCGTAGAAAGGGTTCAGTGACTAATGTGCGAGGTCGGAAAATAAATACGACGACCATTGTATTGGTGGCGGCCTGTGACAGATCGATTTACGTAAACACTCTGGAGAACTGTTGTATTTATGGTTCTAAAACGGGTCAGGAAATAATAAAAAGAAAGAAAGAAAAGAAAAACAAACTTTCACTCAGCTCAGCAGGATGACAACAGGTGTGTGTGTGTGTGGTTTCAGGCATTTGCTCTTTTTTACTCATCAGGCAGCAGTTTGACCTGTGAAACTCTCTGGTACTATTGTTCTGTTCAAACAGAACCAGTTCCTCAGGTTGTGTTCACTGAGAAGCCAACTCAGGCGTAGAAGTATCACTGAAGTCATTCAGTGACAAGTGCATCACCTGGGAATTAAACAATAATAACAGAGAGAGGGGAACACGACTCTGGTGCCAAAGCCGTGGTTCACACACCAGACTCTGGCTGATGTTTGAGACAAATCAGGTCAGCTGTCAGAAACAGTGACAACCACTCACTAACAGTAACAAACGTGCACTCACTTCCAGTCCGGTCGGAGGACGCATGCCTTTTTTTCCTCATGGAACGGTAAAAGCGTGAGTTCCTCTTGATGGGTTCTCTGCTAAATCCACCTTTGCCGTCGTCCTCGTCATCGTCCTCCTCGTGACTTGTTTGAATCGCCAGAGCCGAAGGCTTCTCCGGGTTGTCCTGTGCCTTTTGGCCAAACTTGCCCCTAAACAGGGCAATTACAGACATGGTAAGAAATGTCTTTTTTTTTTTGCTTTGGTTTCAATTTCTCCCTAGAGTTTGACTGAGTTTTAGGAAAATCACGCTCGACTTGATGAAGCAGACTTTCGCATTTAGCCAGAATCCAGGAACAAATCCATGCTTAAAAAGACTAGAATAATAATCTGCTTTGACAGAAAGAAATAAATCCCAGTACAGCAGGAGGACCAACGAGAAGACCGGAGAAGCAAAAGTGATTCCCAGGACGTCTGAGCCTCCTGTCAGTTACAGCAGTGTTGTTGGAAACGCAGGCGGCCTCTGTCACTTATTTCTGCCAAAGCTGTAATTATTGTATTTATGACTCTCTGGCTCTTAAGTCCCTCCTCTGTTTGGCTCACTCACTCACTCCCTCTCTCTCTCTCTCTCTCTCTCTCTGTCTCTCTACACCCACCTGTTGCGTGCTGACATTCCTGAAAGCAGCCTTGCCTCACCAGCCTGCCTGTCCCTCTGCTCTCAAACACTGCTGTTCAACCTGAATAGTGACTTGATGACTAATATGGTCTGTTCAGTTTTATCTGTTTTTTTTTCTCACGAATCCCTCCTCAGAATAACTTATCGCTGTTTTGCGTCTAAATTTAAAATGTGGGTTGTTTTTTTTTTTTTGCAGTTCCATTTAAATCGGTCACAATTTCACAAGAATTAAATTGTGTAATATTTTAAGGAAGTGGATGTTCTCTTCATATGCATATGTGTTAAATGAACTGCAGGCAGTGTGTTTCAGATACAGTGAGAACGGGGGGGCTCTTACAGGGGTTTATCACCCCGGGTCAGCTGACCAAGAGAGTTTAAAGTGCACTTTCTCTTCTTTGCCACAGGAGCACTCAGGAGGCCTGAATTCCAAAGTTACACAAAAGTTCTCACTGAACACTGAGGATAAAGTCCAACGCCAACGTAACTGTGTGAAACGTATATCTTTTTTTTTAGCTGAATGGCAATAATCAATATATACGTTGTTATTTTTTCCATGACATCATTGGAGTTTCCCCTAAAGCATTATAGCACCTTCATTAACACAGGCCACAACATCAAGACCAAACACTGTTTCAGTGGCTTAATCTTCAAATTCCCACGGTACCTGAATGCCCCGTTGCTGCGATGTTAAACACATTACAGTTATACAAATGTCGTACAAGTTATTCCAACACTGTTTATATATATATATATATACTGTATATCAGACAAGTATATAAAGAATGACAGTAACAGGCACCGACCGCCTGCTTCAGTCAGTGTCATTTAAACCATCTCAACCCGGCCTCTTCAACTTCTAATCTCCAACTCATTCCACCTTAAATCCCCCTCTGAGCTACAGGATAATGGACCTTGTTAAAGTGACATCTAATGAAACTAAACTGTTTATGGAACCAGAATAATCAGTTTGACTAGACATTCCCAGTAAACAAACAGTTCTGCAGCACTGGGGAAACTGTGGACCATCAAATAGAGATATCAGTCTTTACAAGCACCTGAGGCCCACAGCACTGCTGTTGTCAGGAGGCATGGCACGACTTTATGGCATGAACTATTAAACATCCTCACCCTGAGGCCACATATCCTCAGGGATCGGCCACCAGTGACAGAATCCGGACAGGTGACTTTCTCACTCGGTAAGGGAGCAATAACAACGTGTGCAGGAACCCAACGCACCCTGAAGAAGTCCTTGTGAGCCGGAAAGGAATCACCACGTTTACACAACAGCCTGAAAACAGGCAACCCCAGACTCTGAGTCAGTTTCTCCCTCCAGGTCATGAGACTTCAGTGTCATTAACTCACAACAAAGCAGCTGGCCTCAGGTCTGACTTTATTGTTGTTTACACTACTTTCTGTTGCACCGCAGAACATTAAACCTATGGGACCTTTCTTTTAATAAAAAGTTGTTTGTTTGTTGTTGTTAAGTCATCACATTCTGTTCACAGTTATACGTTTCCTTGGTTAATTTTTCCATTGTTATATTTTGACAACGAATTCAGTATTTGTTCATATTTTAATTGCTTTTTACAACTGTTAAAAGCCACTATGTTTCAGTCCTATATAACAAACCTAGTCCTGCAGTGCCCCCTAGTGGCACTCCTGAGTATAACTAGAAATGCAGAATTACATTTTGTCTGTTGGACTGTTAATCAAACAAATTAATGTTTTATTCAGAATAGAATATTTGTCTTTTAATATAATGTATCAATTAAGATTAAATTAGCAAATATAATTTTAGTTTTAGTTAGTTTTAGTTTTAAGGGAGACGTGATTCGTGTTTTGAAGCACTGCTCTGAAAAAAGGGAGACGTGATTCGTGTTTTGAAGCTGAAAGTGACTCACCAGTGGGAAGCAGTTCGTCTGAGGTGAGGTTGCTGTTGCAGCAGCCAGGATGAAACAGTTCAAACGTTTTTCAACTTCACTCCCGTGTCTCCCAGATCTCTTTGTGAGAGGAGGATGAAAGGATAATCCACCAAGGAATAACGGTGTTGTGGTAAGTGCATCAGCAAAGGCTAAAAAACAAAGGGAAATGAGAAGATAACAAGAATGAGCAGAAGCCCGGGTCACTGGATCAATGCAGTCCAATGTCTGGTTTGAAGGTATTTGGTTGGTAAATATGCGTGGAGACACAAAGACAGCGACACAGCCAATCTTGGTTCTGTTAGATCACCTAAATAAGAAAAAATTGTGGAAGAGTGTGATAAGAATAAAAACCTTAAACCTTAAAATCTCAGTTTTAAAATTAGAAAAAAAAAATTCAAAATTTTTAATAAAATTATCTGAGGTCAGTTGTTCTCAAATAAGACTCACCTCTATTTATGATGCAGCTATTCTTTTTGTGATACATTTAACAAACAAATGAATCACTATTTCAGCGTGAAAAAAATAAATAAATCAAAGATTTCAACAGGGGGCAGCAACAATTCTTCGTTACCTCTCGTCTGCTACTAGGCTCAACAGAGGAAGACGTGGTCCGGTGTGCTTGTTATTGTACATCCATGTGTGATACTGTTGACCTCTGGTTGTCAGGATAAAATAACAGAATGGCCGGTAGTCGATTAGAGAAATTTGGAACCGTATTTACTCGGTAAGAACGCAGCATTTTAACTAAGCGAAGGTCCGAAGGCTCTCCTTAGCCACGCAGCTAAAATAGCTCATCCCAGAGTCGTAGAAAAGTAATGTTGCTCTCAAGGAAATTGGGTTAAAGCGTGCTCCTCTGAAGGTCGCGAGTAAAACGCGTTAAATGTAGCACTAAATGACACAGAGCTGCACGTGTGAGCAGCTGTAGTTCCGACAAGTTCCAGTCTGTGTGTGAATCAGTATGAAAGTAGCTCTGATGTTAGCATTTCCACTGTTAGCTCGAGCAGAGTCGCCGGTGCACGGGAATAGCGATGACATTTAGAATTTTGTAATATTAGCACTCATAAACCACAAACCTTTTTGTTTAAAATTAAATAAAAAATAATTACCAGTCCACAGAAAATACATTTCAAGAATGCATTACAGAATTTTCACGTGTAAAACACAGGAAGTGAACCGGAAGTAGCGGAGTTACAATGGACCGTTCGTGTCTAAGAGTAAATACTGTATGTGGAGGATTTTTAAAAAGTCAATATTTGCGGTGACTTAAAAATACTTCAAACATTTGTTTTGATGTTTTTATGATTGTAGCCATAGATTTTCAAAATCTGACAGCTATGCTATCTATAAATATACTGTATATTTAGTGTAACGTTACCTGTTTGAATGACAACAATTATACACACGAGTTACCTTGACGTGTTTGAATGACAACAATTATACACACGTGATTTAAACATCCTGCTGTTACAGCATTTGCAATATTTTGATTATTGTAGACATTTCTGACTTTTTTGTAGGACAAATAAAATAATTTCACTTATTACCTGTTTATGAATTACTGTACACCTGGTATGAATTTTTAAAAACACCTGTAACCATATATTTTGTGATGACTTCAGGGTCAGGGATCTGATGCGCTCAGGAGTGATGCAGTCAAATGAGAAACCCATCTGGTATGACGTGTACAAGGCATTTCCACCAAAGAGAGACCCGCTATATGTGAAGCCATACACCAGAGTAATAGTAAAAAGACCGGATCTAGTTCCTGAGATCTTTTACAAGGAGGATAAAGTCAGAGCGTAAGTCAATATGTATAGTTCCATGTATAGCAGATAAACATATTTACACATACTTTTACCAGGGATGTTTTTTTTTTATTATTTTCATTTAAATGTATTTTTCTGACTATTAATACCTCTATGACTGTCTGCTGACCACGTGATAATTTGACAGCATTTGCAGCAACAATTAAATTTAAATGTAGACAGTTTACATTGTGTTTTTTACTGGGCTCACCCACAGTTGTTGACCTTTCAGGAAATTTTATGAAAAGTATGGTCCAAGTCCTCGGGTGTTTGAGCTCATCAAGTCCTCCCATGTGTCTTTATCTCAGAAGTAAGTTCAATAGTTTAAATACCAACATACATTTTCTTTTGACAGCAGAATAACGTATGGTTTTATTTGTTGTGGTCCAGGTTTGTCGACAAGTACACAGAGCTCCAGAGCCAGAGTGAACTGGATGAAACCGCTCTGTTCAATGAAACGGCCAAAGCTTTACTGAAACAGGGCATCCTTCTTAGGAGGAGAGGAGCTCAACCAACTGTGAGTGATTTACACCGAATTAAACACTGACTGTGACGGGTTCATTTAAAGAAATATCAGTGAGATAACAAATCTTTATAAACATGCAAGACATAGACTTTAACTGACCAAGAAAGCTGACGCTTCGTTACAGTACTTTTTTAATCCTGCAGGTGTCAGCAGTGTCCGCAGACGCTGTGGAGAAACTGAACATCGAAGACGTGTGGACAGAGCAGCAGTCAGCCAGTGCAGACAGTGCAGAAACACAGCACGGTGATACCCAGACAGACACATCTCCATCTGTGGACCTCAACACCTCAAAAACGACTGAATGAGCTGCAGACACACACACACACACACACACACGCAGCGTCAGCTGTGGTCACCTGTCCAGACATGGTCATCTCAGATCTGCTCCAGTGTCAGGAGGACTGTTTGGACGCCGTGTGTTTCCAAGATGGATTCTGAAGGAGACTCACGAAACAAAGACGTTACTAAACTAAAATCCTGACTCCTCAACACATGAACATTGATCTTAGACTTTTAAAAATGTAACTGGTTACAATGTGGAAAAACATCTTTGTAAAATGTTTGGTTGCATAATATATTATTATTAAATAAACTATGTTGCATTACAATGTCACAGATATATGCATGTTATATACAGACAAGTCGAGCCATACACTTTCTAATAAGGGAGTAGTTGCCTTTTGCAGTTTATAACTTCTTATCCCTTCAATGCTCCTCACAATAAGTATCTTAATGTATCATATATGTATAAAGCAACACTATGGAAGTGCAGCTTATTCAGTGTAGCTCTATATTTACGGTCCTTTAATTACAATACAATATCATGAAATATATTTCAAGAAATATATTAGCTTCTACATCAACGTTAAAAAACCTATTTGAAGACAGCAAGAATTCAATCATGAAAATAATACAACAGACGCCTACAATACAATATCATGAAATACGTAAAACAAAACGTAAAAAAAAAACCTATTTGTAGGCAGCAAGAAATCAATCATGAAAATAATACAACAGACGCACAAAGACTTAATGTGTACATATATACACACATACATATATAAATATATATACATATATACATACAGACATATATACAGTTCATACACACACACATCTATATAAATAAAACGGCTCGAAATTATGAGAAGTCGAAATGACTTGCATGAAGTCAAAGTGTGTATATAATGAAGCATTAATAGTACGACTGGAAGAAATAGACTTTGGAACTTAAGAAAAAAAAAGTTTGAGTCTTTAAATGTCTACGTGTCAGAGGACAAAAGGCGTTTAAAGAATTGCTGTCACAATGATATCTCATTCTGTAGGCTGCCTCACGCTGCAATAATTGTTCTTCATTTTCCTGCTTATAATAAAGCACAGCATGCCATTCACTTTAACGGACAGCTGTATTGTGTGAGAGGCAGTCGGCGCGCCGTATAAGAACCGCTGCTTTTGTTCTTATAGTTCACAGATCTGCTGTAAGCAACGCTTATATAAACTGTGTTTTTACCTTTTACTAAACACGCTGTAAGTTGTTATGGTCGGTCTGTGATCCAGAAGATAAAAAAAAAGTGGAACAAATTAGTCAAAATACATAGAAAATGAACTTCTAAACAGTAGGAGAACAGTAAGTAGCTGGTCACTGGCTTTGAGAATTGCACCAACACTCTCTACAGGGTGTTGTTTGTGTGCCAGCTGCTGATTATGATTGGTGTGTTTCTGCTCACTGGAGCGTAGCAAAGACGTTTTATTGTTTTTGCTTGGGTTAATTCAATTGCAACACTGTCACAAATGTAATTATCCTCCACCTGCTGCCTCTGACCCCGACTCACCCACAGCTAATGAGCGGCTACAAACACTTTTACCTTCTATCATTAGGGCAGCTCTAAACGCTTGAAATATAATAAATATTACAGTGAAATCACACTTCATAACACAAAGTGAGAAACCACTCGACTAAACAGAATTAGAAAAACATTTACCCAATACAGAGAAAGTTTTTTTAAGCACGGTTTTTCTACATGTTCAAAAAAAAAAAATTTTTTTAGAAAGGTTTATATTTTTGTTTAATCTATCTATATATTATCTATAATAATATCACTCTATAATATCTATATATTATCTATAATAATATCACTGACATAGAATAGTACCAGTACACTGGATTGTATCTGGTGTACTAGACTGTTGATGATTAACCAACAAAACCATCCTTACATATCCCTACATTGAAGATTAGTATAATTCAGGCCGGTGGACCCAAATGCAGGACAATAATCAGATGATGGTTGAAAAACAATTCAATGAACCAAAGTAACAACAACAAATTCACAGAAGGAAAAGGTTTTTAAAAACAGCAGTCTTACTTGGCCAGGAAGGACCAGACCTGGGTCGAAAAACACGTGGATTTAAAGCAAAGTCAGAACAACATGGGTTCAATCTCAGGTGAGAGAAACAAACAAAAAGACGGAGTTAACGGGACACAGGTGGGGAGGGTGAGGTCATCAACATGGAGGAAAACAGTAGACAGGAAGCAGCAAGTGGAGCAACCAGGATAAAAAAAAAAATCAAAAACAGTAGGAGAAAATAACTATTTTATTTGGCTTGATGAGGAGAAATGGAGAGACATTTAACCCAAAGAACACTGTCCACAACTTAATCCAGCTCCAGGAATCTTCTCAGTGAAAAAAAAGAAGAACTGTGCATGAAAACGGTCTCAGGCAGTTCCTGGTACTAATACTTTTTGGGTTCCATATTCACAGCACATTCATCTTCTCTGAACCTGACAGGAGAGAAGTCCCTAAAATTAGTCTTCACTAATGTTCAATTTAAATATTTAAAATTAAATGACAGAGTAAGGAAGTACTTTTCTCCATTCACCGTCTTTAACACACAGTACTCTGTCTCGGTACTCGTCTTCTTCAGTCCTTATTCTGCACAAGTTGTCAAACATTATTGCTTCATGAACAGGAATTGTAAAGTTTCCAGAAGATTCTAGTTTCTCCAGCTGTATCACAGACTCTCTCTCTGAGCCGTGATAGAAAATGCATTACATTTTTCCTATTTTTATCCCTGGAGTGGCATTAAATATTGAAGCCATCACAGGAGGTGGGTAATGATGAAATGACCTTTATTAATTATAGCTTTGAATAAATAATGTTACCTCATGTGGATCTATCGCTCTTCTGTCTTACTGTCCTCTCTTTAATTTCCTTTGCCATCACTCTCTTCACATCTCATCCTTCTTTTACAGGAATATTAGCGGCGGCGACGGCTCGGGCTTGTTTTTATCACACTATTAAAAATACACTTCTTAGTTTGTCTACCTTTTTCTCATGTCACGTGGTTGAAAACAGTTTCAGTAATATCTCGGAGTAGAACATAAAAAATATATATTTGACAATAAACGTGAAAAATATTACATACTCGAGATTTTATTTCAATATCGTCTGACATTTATTTTTATTTAAAAATTGTTTTATATGTTAGTACTCAAGCTGTACAGCAGGGGTCACCAACTATATTTTTCATCGAGCCGGAATCTTTCTGGACAGACACCTTGGGGGGCAAACATTCAAATAAAATGAAATAATAATCACATTTTTGTCCAACATTATTATTCGATTTGATTTATTTTGGAATCTACTCGTGGCCCAGATTAGTTGGTTCAGCGGGCTAGATTTGGCCCGCGGACCTCCGGTTGATGATCACTGCCATTCAGCAGATTTTAGCACAGATGCCATACAAGAGAGTCAACTGTTACTAAAATGCAAAACATAAAACAGTGCCAAGTTACAACTGCTATAAATTCCACTAGGTTTTCAACATCACTTCCTAAAATACAGCCCTAAACTTGTAAAGAGCCTCCTGATATAATCGCTGAAATTCCAACAAAAACAAACCCAGCTCCTCCTGTTGAGCTCCAGTCTCCTCCTCCTGCTATTTTTTGCATATTGCAGCCTTGGAAAATATATATTCTGGAAGTCCCCACTTTGAGTAAATGTTATTCATTAAACGATACTCACAGGAAAACCCAAAGACTGGGTCGAGACCCACAGGCCGCTCGTAGTCCTGGTTACGTTTTCACCTTCATACACATCTACTACCATAGGCCAAGACTTCACACTGTACAAGATAGCACCAAATTAGGACTCCAGAGACCCGTGTGGACCTGCAGTAATTTTTCAAGCGTATTTAATTGGTTCTTCCCAGTGAAATAAGACCCAGAAGGCTTAATCACTGAGCCCGCTTAGACCTAACTGTTTCCTGAATGGGTCTACTCAGGCTATCTGTGTGTTCAGGCCTAAATTAAAGCCCTTAAACAAGTAGTTCTCATTAGTTCATATAGCTGTGAAATCTCTGGACTGACTCACGAGGAGCTGAACCAGTCTCCACCTCAAGGACGTGTCGGGAAAACCAGTCATTTTATCATAACTAGACTGGACCACTGGAACCGTGGACAGTCTGTCCAAAACCTTCAGTTTGTACAATCACTCCACATTTGCCACCAGGACACATAATAAAAAAAAAACAAAACATAATTTTCATTTAATTGATTATTTAGAAAAAAATATATAATTTCTCATTTATTTCATCTATATTCGATTGTGATTATAAAGAACAGTGTGAAAAACTCAAGACCAAGTCGCTTTATATGTTGGCCCACCACAGTTCACATGTATATGTGGTAATATAGAGCAGTGGTTATCAATAGGTGAGGCACGCCTCCACTAGGTGGCGCCATAGAGTCACAGGGGAGGCCTGCATTAAAGTTGAAATTATTGGCTTTTGCAAATAATTGTTTACAAGTGCGGTTTTGTGACCCAGGTGAACCTGGTCAACGCCTAGCCTGCTGGGGAAACTCCCATAGTATCCTTACTCGTCTCTTTCTCTGCCTGTCTATATGATACGTCTGTCCCTCGTCCATTGACCGTCCATTAACTCATTAAATCTTCAAGAGCTAAGACAGAGCTAACAAGGTTTTTACTCTTATAGTCATTATTACTTTTTATCGTCAAAATTATCATCAGTATTATTCTACAATTCTACTTTGGAAACTATTGGATGGAATTATATATATATATATATATATATATATTATATGTTGCATTTTCAAGGCGTAGTTCTCCTTACTTGTCAGCAGGTTGCCTCACTCCTCTATGGACTCTATGATTGGATATTTGTTCTTCAAGTGGACTCCCCGTCCGTGCACGGCCATTTCCAGTCTTTAGTCTGGAACTGGATGTGATAAAAAAAAACAACAAAAAAAAAAACAACTGCCTCCATTTGCTGGCATGTGGTTTAATCCCTCCGGCTTCGCCGTCTGTACAATCGTTTCTTTCATTCTGTGAAAAGTGAGTCCATTTAAATCAAATGGACGTAAATCACTCTGTTCTCCCAGGGAGGCAAAAAAACATCTGCGTTTAATGTAATAATACCACAAAAAAATAAATAAATCATGATTATAAATGTAGATACATTTTCTTATTCACGTTTTCAGAACATTTTTAGATTTAGGCGACTGAAAAACAACAAGTAAAAAACACAAAACTCGCCTGAAATGGAGTCCACGTCAAGGCAGAGACATTAATGAAGAAGAATAAAAAAAAAGTTATAAAATTTGACCTTTTAAAATACTAAATAATGAAGGTAAAAAATTAAAGTAAATTTATACTGTGAACGGTTTAGAGAGGTGAAAAAAATGTAATTAAACTTTAAGAAATTAAAGTATGTGCACCCACCTACAGGGTGTTAGTGACCAAAACAAGTGATCGACTGAAAGACAACGTGGTTCAGCTGTGCAGAAGTCTTAGGCCTAAAGTTTGGTCAATAGAAACAGGCAGAGGTCAAAACACAGTAGTAAGTAGTAGTAGTAGTAGTAGTAGTAGTAGTAGTAGTAGTAGCATAGTAGTACAAAGTCTGAAGCCTGAGGTCAAAGGTCCACAATATCTGTCTCAGTCTAACACACGCGGAAAACACTGAGGGGGGGAAAAAAAAAATGAAGTGGATCCTGAGGAGGTGAAGGGAGGGGTATTTATATACAGAGAAGGGGGCGGAGTCAAGGAGACGCAGGTGACGGTGATCAGGTGATCAACATGGAGGGAAACACAGTCACACAGAAAGAGTAAAAACCAAACAACACGAAACTCGAATACTATTAGTGTTTTAGTCCATTACTGCCAGCACACAGTACTGCATTGTACACACAATACTGTATACACAGTACTGTATACACAGTACTGTATACACAGTACTGTGTGTACTGTATCCCTGCATGTCAAAGCCAAGCAGGGGACACAGAGACGTGCCCCCCCCCCTTCACACACACACTGACATTCTGCTCATCTGTGTTGACATGTGGACAACAGTTGACCAATCAGCAGACAGTGACCAGTCAGCCAGTCAGAGGCTATTTTTGGAACAGCAGAGGTGGACTGGAGACCTGTCCAGTGACATGTGTCCAGACTGAACTGCTTGAAAATGAATGAAAATCAAAATTTTTTTTTTTTTTTAGAAATAAATAAAAAAATCAATCGGCGCTCATCCGACTTTTGTACAAACAGTTTTATTTCATTTTTAAACAAACACATTGATTTCTGGACCAGAGCAGTGAATGGAACCTTAGACAAACATCTTTTATCGGTATTTTTATAAAATACAAATATAAAATTATATTTTTCACACACTCTTTTCGCTTTTTTTTTTTTTTTTTTTGGTTTTCCTTTTTTTTTCTTTTTCGTATGTACAGGGCTTGAGCAAGCCATACAGGTAGGACTGAAAGATGCTTTCAGTCTGTTCAGTCTACTCTCGTGTTAAAAAGTTACCATTATATAAAAAATGGGCAAGTGGCAGGAATGAACAACGCTTTCAGCAACACAGAGATGAAGCACAAACAACCACTGGTACAAAACGAGTCAACACCACGGCAGCATGATGCACCTCAGGGATATTTGTGCCAGGCTCCTAAACAGTGAGTATTACGGTAATATTGTAATATTGTACGATTAAATTCTGTTTCTGTCGTGTCTGAGTGTGTGACGTGTCCGAGAGGAATTCATCTTTGTAAGTTTCTTCGTGAATCGTGAGGAATAACGCCACCTACAGGTTGTCCATTCCTGAACACTTGCCTCATTATTCAAGTATAGGTGGATACAGAAGGACACTCACAATACACATATTTAAATATAATACACTGTATACATATATTGTAATACATATATTGTTTTTTGTTTTTTTTTTTTAATTTCTCTTCTTATTTAAAATATTTCAAGTCGTGAACTCAAATGCGTGACGTGGATGATGAAGTGTGCCACATTCGTTTACTGGGAAGCGTGTGAGAGAAGCACGGCGAGCAGGAACACATGGATGCTACACTGAAGTACGAGGTATGTCGTCAAACTGAAACGGCGCGGAATTAAACACTTCGTTACGTTCAAGGCGTGTTAGTTTGACGCCGTAGAATTCTTCACGATCGCTAAAAATTCAACGTTAATGGCTCAGGGTTTGCTTTTGTTTTTTAAATCTACTCTTAGATTTGCTCCAAGCAACACGACCAGGGGCCAGTCACCGACAGCTAGCTGTTGTAATGGTGTATCAACTGGCTCAAAATAGCTGAGAGCGCCACTTTTCTGTGGAACTGTGCACCCTCAAAGTGTTCCTAATTTAAAAAAATCAAAATAAAAATCAAACAACACCAACTGGAAAACTTTTGACCTAAATCAACAAATCAAATATTAACACTTTGTCTTCAGTTTTCGCAGCAATATTTCACTTTTTAAGATACATTAACGCCACTTTGACCTAAATTCTCACATCAACTGTTCTAATTAGGTTTCCAAACATTGAAAACAAATCAAATATTATGCTAACCCTTTGTCTTCAGTTTTCGCAGCAATACTTCACTTTTTAAGATACATTAACGCCACCTAGTGGATCTGTTCTGCTAGTGTATATTTCCAACCAGGAACATCTCTGTTGCAAAATGAAAAAAAAAAGAAAGAAAAAAAAGTAGAAGAGTGCATTTGTAGTGTTACTGTGATCCATTTAAATTACTGATTTTTTTTTTTTTCTGTGATCCATTTAAATTACGGATTTTTTTTTTTTTTTTAGGAGATTTTCTGGCAACTTTACCTTTAGTTACTGTTTACCAAAGTCTCCATCATGAACCAATAATATTAGGAACATCTAGTGACCTCATTAAAATGTTGCGTTTAAGAATATTGAGCAACGAAAATCCAAAAGGTCAGGTATGATTTCTGCTTCTTTTGCATCCATGACCGATGTTAGATGTCAACTGATGAAGGATTAAAGACATGACATGTGAACGGATGGATGGATGGATGGATGGATGGATACATGCATGTGAAGCCTCAGCGCCATCTCTCAGTATGCAAAGCCGCCACGGTTGGAAACGGCCGACAAGAGCAACATCTGCAGGAGCGTGTCTTTAAAGACAAAGTATTGCAGATACTACACCAGATACTTCAACTCAAAAAAGACAACGATATTTGTCCACATTTGACAATCACTCTGGACGGCTTCGAAATGTAAATATAAAAGTTGGTGCGGTCTGCAGTTGTGCGTGTTCAGTACTTACAGTTTTCTCAGAGATCACAGTAGTTTGACTGTGGTGTTATTAAATAAACCACCGCCCTCTACAGATCAAGAAAATAAATGCAGACTCTTTATACTGAGTTACATTAAAACGTTAGTAACACAGAGCGAAGAGTGTGAAGGCGGTCGTATCGATTACCTGTCCGTCTGCTCCTGTGTCTCCTCCTAACAGTAACATCACTGTACACACACTACTGTGATTTGGATTCAACCAGACCATAATATGCAGCAGCTCAGACGTGGGAAGATATAGGACTTGAAAATATATGAACTGCAGTTTGATCAGCGCGCAGTGGTTTGGAAAATGGGAGTTGGAGCGGATTTAAAATAAAAAAAAAAAAAGTCCTGACATTGAGTAGAACCGATCAACTGAAACTACAACTACTTGAATTAAAAATTAAAAATGAAAAAAAAAAATGAAGTTGTGTGTTCGGCGGTTTGCTCACGTGCTGTTTCTGCGATATTTACTACTTATTTTAATGTGCGATAATCCTATAAAACTGTTTTACTCGCTCAGATATCAGTGTTTTTATGAATGACTTTTACCCTTTTACAAATGTCAACATTAAATCTAACCGTTGGTTTTATGAACTAACTATTACTAAACATGTTAATGAGTTAATCACTTGTTATTTTTAACTGTTACATAAAGCATAATTTTGAAGCGACAAAGTTCTACTTAAGTACTGCTACTTAGTAGTACTACTACGACTGGCCGGTTTCAACATGGCCGTGACCTCTGGCCTTGAGGTCTGCACAGGCCAGTATACTACATTTTATCAACTAGTAACTTAATGACGAGCTGGTCTTAATAGTTTTATTGATTTCTAGCTTTAGCGGTAAAGGTAGCGTGACGTGTCCGCCGGAACATTCAAGGCCGTATCGAGTTTCAAAGTTCAACCTACAGCACATTCAGAACATGAACAAAAACACGCTGTTGAAGTTTAAGGAAAATCAGATTAAGTTACATTTTCCAAAAAAAAAAAAATCCTGTCCTGACCCAAAAATATTACTCAGCTCTACAGTGACACCTACCTGTGACAAATCAAATACAACAAAAACGTTCAAAATCCACCTGACCATCAAATCATTTTTTTTTCTGTTTATCTTCTTAGCTTGTGCATTTGGTTTAGCATCTATTGTAGCACTGTGGTAATCACATGCCTCTCGCGCAGGCACAGAGGCATTAGTAGTCAATGTGCAAACAAAGGTAGTATATAATCATATCTCAGGGTCTGTAGAACTCGGCCACCTGAAATACGATGCTTGTCGGAAACTTTGGTGTCGTTTTTGTTTAGCTAGAAGGACGGTTCGACTCGCTTGCTAACGGCAACAACAAACTAACGGCACTGTCTCGTTTAACCGTAAGGGATCTAAGCTTGAGCTGTGCTTACGGTGCCCCCTGCTGGAGCACACAGCGTAGACATTTGACACATGGATCTTTACCTACGTGACTGACATGATGCTCAAACTATGGATGGGTGACGGCAGCACGGAGATGGGACACAGAGGACGTGGGAGTATGAAACACTACACTGGTATAAAAACACACGTACTGTACATTTTCTTCTTCATAGATTACTGTTATACATAAGTAATTAACTGATTATGCTAGGTTATGCCAGGGACTGTACCGTTATATATATATTATCGTTACATTTATAGATATTGTACATACAATCTTTTTTTTAACAACCACAAAAATATTGATACAAATTGTTCTTGGAAATACAAATCATACACGGAAACATACATATGTGTAGTTTTTTTTTTGTTTTTTTTACATTAATAGCATACAGTACAAATTTTTTTTTATTACTCTAAGTTTCCTTTTTAGAAACAGTAGCCTTCGATGGATTATGAAAGTATTATGTTAAATGTCTTTATCCGCACGGACCGGAAGAAAAAACAACATCTCTCCTCATCAGTCCATGAGATTAGCTTCAATTAAAACTGGTGCTTTAGTGAAAATTCCTGTTCCGATAATTATAATAATAATAATTTTTTTTTTCTTCTTAGACATTCGTGTTTTTCCGTATTCACTGAAACGTTCCACGTCAGCAGAACTCAACACTTCAACAAGGTTACGCACTACAGCCAACTGCTCTCATTATTCCTCAAGGCAAGAGCAGGACGTCCACTAATGGAAACGTCAGCGCCCCCATCCTCGCAGTTTGTAGGTTGAAGTGTTCTTGACCGAGATACCGAACCCTAAATTGGTCCAGATGGATGTGAAGAACAACGTGTGGTTCCACATACAGAAGCAGTGTGTTTTGAATGAGCGTGTGTGTGTGGGTGTGTGTGTGTGTGTGTGAAAGGTTATTGTAGTCCATTTACATTTCCTCTTCAGACAGAAAACACAAGACGCTAAAATAAACGATGTGCGACCGTGGACTGTATTCAACAAAGCATGAAATAAAAAGACACAAGTGATTAGTGGAGTTCTCCCCGGAGATCGGCGTGTGCTTTGAAGTTACTGAGCTTTGGAGAACGAGATGAACCCTGTCATGTGGGAGTCACATCACATGTACTGAATGTGTGTGTGTGTGTGTGTGTGTAATTTCAAACACACACACACACACGGGTCTTTTAAAAGGCAAGTAGGCTGGTATTAAATTAGCTACAGTTTGAAAGCAAAGTGCATAAAAGTACACAGAACGGTGGCACAGCTACAGGACAGGTCCACATATTACTGCGTTTTTTTAAAAGGTAAACGAGTACTGTCAATACAAATAAGTAAAAAAAATAAAATAAAATATTTTTTTTTTATTGCCTCAATCACGTATATAATCATTCTGTTGTTTATCTCTGGAGGAAAAAAAAAGAAAATTAATACTTCCTCTAGTCTCGGTAATCAATCAGTATCTGCAAAGATTTATGGGATTTCCATAAAGACTTATGTCGTAAAGTGGAGTTTTTTTTTAATGAAGAAGCTGCTCATGTTGCATTGTACTTGTCAGGATATTCTGAGCAAATTAAATCAAATGGGGCAGTAATTTCAACTAATAAGACAACTCCAATATTGTTGACTGATATATATGGACATATATATATATATATAATATATATACTTGTACTGACAGTACTGGAAGACCTCCTAAAACTGTGTTACAGTATATGTTGAAATCCACTGGAGCACCTACAGAACATTGTTGTACTGAATAAAACTGAGTGACTTTTTCCACAACACATTCACACCACGTCAGTGTTCGACTCGACGTCCAGACCACAGACATAAAACTGGACACATGAAAGATATTTTTTTCCCTCCTTATTGCCAGAAATGTTCCTTTACTGACCACACTGTCTGAACACGAAATGTGTTTTTTGACAGAGTTTTTTTTATAGGTCTCTTGTGAATCAAAGAGTTCTGGTGAAATAAAACAGAGTTGTTTTTTTACCTCGATTTACAATCAGCAATACATGTGGGGACAATATTTTTTTAGGGGAAATTCTATTATTGTAGGGTCACGTCGTCCTTCTTGGACTTTTGAAGATTTAGTTTTGTAGAAAATATTAGAATTAGGATTAGGATAAAATCAAGTTTCCACATATACTTATAGAATAATAATAAAGGTTATGGGTTAAGGAATACATTTTTTAAGTGCTCACAAAACCAAAAAAAAAAAAATATGCCCAAGTGTGTGTGTGTATATGTATATGTGTGTGTATGTGTGCAGTAAGTGTCATTGCTTTTCACATAAGGATAAAAAGAGCTACATAGTTGAAAATACATATTTGGAATCAATAACTCAAAGCCATAATTCCACAGATAAATAAAATCAAATCACAAGTCAAATAAATCAGCAAGTATCTACACAGTAGTAACAGTACAGTCAGAGAACTCAGTAGCGGGTCAGTCTCGCTGCAGAACAGACCGTCACACACAGTGACTTTTCCACCTTTTAGATGTTTCTCTTCTGGTATCGCCTCCAGCCTGGCTCACTGCATGGCTGCTGTAGTGGTTAGTGCTGGATGACATCACCTGGGTGACACAGAGGAAGGTCAGACACCGTATTCTACCATGAAAGCGTCAGCAGGCTTTTTGAACACGGCTGTTTGAGTAGTGAGTCATTTGACAGGACCTGGTGTCTGTAGGCAGTGTACTTTTAGATCCGAAAAAAAAAAAAAAAAAACGTTGCCAAAATAAAAAAAAGTTCAATTTTGATACGACAACCTAACATTTGAAAATTTACACCTAGAGTTTCAAATCAGACCAAAAACAAATTAAAATGTTTCCTGCTAACTTGCGTTGCCAAGGCTAGGCTAGGACAATCCAGCTAAGCCCAGTAGGCATTTACTGTACATTACTGCCCCCTACTGGCTGTGTTGTATGTGTTTCTAAGTGAAACCCCAAAGCAGACAGACTGTATTGTGTCAAATTAAAATGACTGACTGAATTAATTTTTTATTCGTAGTTACCATCTAACGTAAATTACAGTAAATTAGCTTAATAATAGCCCCATAAAAGCAGGCTACAGCTAGCGTCTGCTCAGGTCAGATGTGACTGATGTCAACATTTGCTTTAAAGAACACTATTTCTAGACACGCTGCTGCCAAAACAGGTGTCAATCAAGTCAACGAGTCTGAAACATTTGTAAAAGTAAATCACCGTGACTGAACACAGAGAGAGGTTTGGATTTAGATGACGTGTCAGGAAAGACTTTATACCTGAGTTTCTCTGGGGCTTTTCTCATTTGTGTAGTTTTATCTTTAACCAAATATTTCGGTATAAACACCGCTCAGTCCTTGAAAATTCACACATGGATCCTGTACGTTTGGATGGAGAGACAGTGCTGCAGTTCAGACATACATCACACGTAAAAGAGAAGTTCCAGTCACCTGTGACGCTTCAGTGGTATCCATTCGTAAAAGCTGTCGCAATAAGTGGACCCTGAAAAAGTACAGCGTCATTAATTCAAACGTCTGTTTGATTGTTTTGTTTTATACAAATGGGATGGGTATAAAATGTGATCCACTCACAGTCATGCTGTGACTGAATCCAGAGGCTGGCTGTGGGCTGGTCGCACTGATAAAGTTCCCCACACCAGAGTCCTGACTGGCAGTTCCATAGAGGTCAGCAACAGGACCAGGACTACTGGCACCAGGAAATGTTCCAGACCGGTTTGGGTTGGTTCCTGGTGAGGAAGAGCCAAGTGGATCAACAACAACAACAACAACGACGACAACAAGGATATACTAACTAATATGACTCTTGAGACTGTCTGTGATGAAGTATTTGAACTTTGGTTCAGATCGGACTGAATTTGAGGCTCTCTATTAAACTAATTATTTTCATGAAATCCTGTCGTAACATTTGATTTCACTCATTTATCACATAAACGAAACAATGTGTCAAACTCAAGGCTCGCGGGCCGAATCCGGCCCATCGCGTCATTTTATGCGGCCCACCAGAACTTCACATGTGTATGGTTGTCTTAAGATCTGTACTAGTGTGCACTGGATAGGTAAAATGAAATGGTGAAATTCTCAGTGTGTGTGTAACTGTAATAATTTGACTTCTCTAATCCCAAAAACGTACATTTAGCGTAAAAGACATATGCTGCTAGCCTATTTATGTGTAAAAGTATTCTTACTTTGCTCAACGCTAATATTTTTAATTTCATTTCGTAATCATTTCAAATGAAATGTTAAACCTGTTCAGCCCAAAAATAAGATTAGAACTCTGGTCTAAAATCCAATTACCTAAAACTCATTCCATGTCTAAAGATTTATCAACTTGGTACAGTCTGAAAAATTAACCCTTGAAAAAACAAAAAATAACTTGACTTCCTATATAAACAACAACTGACAAAATAAGGTCCAGTACAAATAAGTCGTTGATCCTGGACCTCGGTCCAAACCAGAGACAGCTGTGATCAGAAGACGCTCCAGTGTTTCCTTCTCTAAACAACGACAACCTGTTTCCCCCGGCCCTCGGTTACAGAGTCTACAATCTCTTCATTCTCATTGGTTCTCAACGTAGAAAAGAGATACACAGTATCAAACGTCCGTCTCCAGGAATGACTGCGGAGACACAGTTTAGATAAGTTACCCATCCATGACCGCGACCTGAAGCCAGTCGTCAAAACCAGACGTGAACAGAATCTAGGCTACGGTGGTATTTGTTCACGTAATTACTCCGGTTGCCCTCTGAAGCTCACAGAGACTGTTTTGACGCCGCGGTCTCACACTCGTCTGTCACCGAGTGCTGTTGTTTGTTGAATATGTGGCGAGGCGCCCACACACCGCTGAGAACAAAAGAAATTGTTGTATTTTCGGGGGGTTGAGGTTGGAGGGGTGTGTGTGTCTGTGTGTGTGTGTTGATTTGAAAAATGACAGAGCTGAGCGGGGAAGAATAAAATGAGCATAAGTAGAAAATATGACACTCGCACACAGTTTATTTAACGGGGGATGTTCCCGACGCCACATGACTCTTGTTCGGTTTTTATTTTATATCTCCTTAATGTAAGGCCACAAAAACTACTTCTCACCTTCAGAGTGGTGTTTTCATCACTTTGCAGATACGCCAGACAGTTTACCAATGCTTGGCAAAAATTGCACAGGGGAATAGGGCATAATACACCACATCTAATCAACACCTGTCAGAGGGAGAGCCTCCCTACTCACACCCTTCCCCCTCCTTCTCCTTATCTGCCCCGGCTCCTTTTCCGCTCCTCTCTTTTAAATATACAGTATGAAATGGTGATTATCTTGTCCAAAGTACCTGGGGTATTGGACCTCGCCTGCTGCCTGACAGGCAGGAAATTACACAAGGTGTTCTGGGTAATGTGAACGAAAACATTTCATGAACTCGCGTCACCGGGAAAGAAATAATACCCAAATAAGAGAGAGAGACTGCAGGCGGCCGACCAGAATGTGTTTCTGGAATAGCCTTGTTTTTGGTTCTATCACCGCAACTTAGGTGAAGTATTCACAGGTATCACATACTCAACTACAGTCACTTGTGTACAGTTCTCACTCCTTTTTTCCTTTTTTTTTGTTTTTTTTTTTGCATTTGACACCTTATCATTCTGAGAAACAAAAAAACATGTTTTTTTTTTATCCACAGGTTTTATATGAAACCAATCATGTGACGTGAAGGCACCAACCTGAGCTCTTAAAAGGTTCTGGGCTGCGTAGGTGGTGCTGGACGGAGCCGGGCGAGTTTGACGCTGAGCTGGCGTGATCGCTGGGCAGGATCTGGGCAGCCCCCTGCACGCCCAGGGAGCCGTAGTCGGCCAGGCAGTAGGACGCCCCTCCCCGCACATCGCTGCTGGCCCCGGACGCAGAGTACAACCCATAATCAGGGAAGCCTGCGAGAGAGAGAGAGAGAGTGAGTTTGTGTGGGTTGGTTAATAACATGTTAGCGTTGGACTCTAATTATAACCTTGACTAATTATTCTCTCGATCATAAAATTAGATAATTTGTGTCAATATATTTCCTTTGTAGTTAAAACCCGCGGCTTGTGACCCACTGGTATTTCAACGAATGACAACGAAGAACCGCACGCTGACATCACTGTTACCGAGCGTCTGTGTCAAATACAACATTAACGCAAGTGTCAACAACATTTTTTTTCTTCTTTTTCATATTTGTTTGAATCTCGACCTTCTTCACTGTGAGTGTCTGTAATTAGAGAGAAGAGTCAGTGTGTCGGAGCGGCTCCTGTGGGCTTCCCTGCCTTTTAGGTGAATTATCTCAGGTGTCGGTGTAAAAGGTCGTCAGCATGAATAACAGCTTGTGTGAAGACCACTTGGCTTCCCATTGTCTCACCTGGACATGAAAGTCATCTTATTTCTTAATATATATATATATATATATATATTTTTTTTTTAAACCAAACATTTAATATGTAGCTTCCCCCTCCTCCACGGGGCCCCCTACCTGAGCCACGAGCCGTTGCAACCGCTGCTGCCATCACTGGTCCATACGCTGAAGTTGGAAAGCCTGAGAAAAGAAGACGTTTTTAATTTTAATTTTTATTCTTGTTCATGAACCAAATGGAATTTCTGCACAGTTTTTTTATGTTTTTAAAATGGTTTAACTCTCTTGAGGCGCTCACTGAAACAATCCTGTCAGTATTACTGACACAAAAACTCACAGGCTGCAGGTCAACGGCGAGTTCAGACTCACAATTCCTGATTCAGTTCGGAGACTTAGTCTGGGTAGTTCAGGAACTGAGTGTGGAGCAGTGAATATAAAAGATTGCTAAGGAGCTAGAACGAGCTGTAATTGGTGTTAGAACGGCTGCTCCCTGATTGCACTGGCATGTGACGCTGCATTCTGCCTGAACTTGTACTTTTTTTATTTATTTTTTTTCCATTAATGCAAATGAACCCGTGTGAGAAGCTGCTTTTATTCTACTGGAAAGATATGCTGAGAAAAAACATGGAAGAACCTCTAAAATAGAATCCTTCTCATGCCCAGCTGTCCAAAGTGGGACAGGACCAAGATTTTTATCTCTATTACACTATTACATATTTGTCAAACTCGAGGCCCGTGGGCCAAATTCCAAAGTGGGACAGGACCAAGATTTTTATCTGTCTTCCTCTATTACATATTTGTCAAACTCGAGGCCCGTGGGCCAAATGTGGCCCACAAGGTCATTTTTTGTGGCCCGTGGGAACTTATGATGTGTTTCTTAACTTGATAAAATAAACTTTTTTTAAAATTACACAGAGCAAAGTAAAATAAATATATTTTAGTACAATAAATAAATACTAATTGCAAAAACATGTATTACTACGTTATGAAGTAGTTACATCTGTACAGTCTTACAGCTACAGCCGGCCCTTTAAGGAGAACTGTAATGCTGACGTGGCCCCCCCCTGGTGAAAATGAGTTTGACACCCCTGCTCTAATGCGTATTAAAATAACACTGAGTCACTTTCAGAACTCCTTCCTGTCTGCTGCACCGCTCAGGTTAAGATACCAACTGCAAATACAAGAGTGTGTTCTGTCCTGGTTTCCCCCACGTTCCTCCCCCACGTTCTCCCTCTCTCCTCACCATAAGTGCCTCCGAGGAGTGAACTTGCCCACTCGTTTTTAAAGAGTGTGACTTTTCCCTCTGTTCTCTCTTCAGTTCAGCGCCGAAGACAAAGCTTGTGCTGGTGAACACTCTGGATTACTCTATAAATTTCAGTATGACCTCACACACCTCCCCCCCTTCACCTCCCCCTCTTTGCCTCCCCCAAGTAGAAAGATAGAAGCAGTAATGAGATGTGTTTGTGTGAGATGTAAATAACATCATAATAACAACAATAACATGGCGGTGGCCTAAACTGTTTTCATAATTGTGTCATTTACCATCAGCCTCTGCATCTTCTCACACATAACAGCTAACATTAAAGGAAGCAGCAAAGCGCCCGTGAAATTGAGATTAGGCAATGACGAAGATGTGCTGGGAAAAAAAAAAAAAAAGGCAAGGCTAAAACCGAAACACGGGGGAGGAGAAGAAAGGGGGCAAAACGGGCCTCCAA